ATAACTAGCTAGAAACAGAGGAGGCCTAATTTCAGGCCACACCGTGACATAAATCCATCCTGGCCTTAACCTCTCTCAGACCTGAGCCACCACTAGAGCCCCAGAGAAACCTGCCCACTGGCTGTGTAAACGGGAGGGTTTTGCACGCCCAACTGAAATAGCACGCACAGTGGCCTGCAAAACAGTCTCTTCAAGAACAGTTTTCTCAATGATATAACTGCGTGTATATTTAAGTGTATAAGATAATGATATTACTGAGTTTTGTTGGATCATTGAACAGAACTGCTTGCAGTCTCACTGTTGGAATGTCCACTTTATAAGCTTTAATTTTGTAACTTGAACAATTATTTCTAAGATGACAATATGTAATCCATTAACTAGTGATTTCCTGTTTATTTTTTTCTGTAAATCTGTATAACTTGTACCCTTTCTCTGCTTTTTTTTTTTCTTTTTCTCCTTAAATAAAATTAAAAAAAAAAATAACAGTTTTCTCAGAAATCTACCTTGATAGCAGGGCCCAGATCACAAAATTACAGTAGAAGCCACCGGAGTTTGGGACCCACATTGTGTAGCTATTGATTTTTTTTTTTCAGTATCCTGTCACTTTTTGACATGCCTTGCTTTGTTCTACTATGCTTTCTTTGAAAAGCAGATCATTTGGCAGAATTTTGAGGCCCACAGATCCAAGAATCCTAACTAGTAATTTTATATGCTATTGTGTGTTCTTCCACTAAACCCCTGAGACACGGAGGAGCTCGCTGTACTTTTCTTTTTACTTTTTCAAAGGATTTCTACACTCTGCGCCAGGAAGACAAATACAGGAAGTTCTGCTGCTTAAGGAAAACAAACGTGACTATCTTTCTTGCTCTTATGTGACGCATTATTCTTAAAATTTTGTGTGCATCACCTACTTGAGCACTGGTCACAGTGCAAACTACAGGGTCCTCTGCTCACCCCGTCTGGGGTGGAGCCCAAGAGTCTGCATTTGTGCAGAGCCCTCAGCCCCCACTGTGAGCCTGATGCTGCTAAAGTAAACACCTACAGGTGGGGGTGACTCAGAGCCTGAGATACCCAGCTGACCTACGGATGACCCTCATGTAGGCATCTACCGAGCAGGTGGTCCCCAAGGTGAGTGAGCAGGGAAGTAACGGCCTCTGTTTCTAAGTTGGGTGCGCCTCAGGAGATGAATCTAGTGCAATCAGCAGAACTTGCTGCCATACCCCTGTATTTAGTAAATTGGGAAAGTTTCAGCACTTACTTTCCTGAGGGTTCCCTCAGGGCTGATTCCCTCTGGAGGATAAACAAGAAACACTGGCAATTAAAGATATCAGGAGGAGCAGGAAGGTGTTTGTACTCTGGTGAGCCCCGGAGCCCCAGGAGAAATCAAGGAGTGCCTGCACAGCCCGGGTAATGAACAATTAGAAAGACAGGTAGGCACCCAGAACCTCATCCCTGCGGAGGATTCTAAGGTCCAGTGTGCTTAGAAACTTGAGACTTAAAGAGGAATTTCAGCGAGCTGAAGAAAACATGGAGATGAGCTTAATTTCCCAGGAGGCCCCATGATTAAACTGTCATTACTGAAACTCTTTGTACTACTATGTGACTTGGGGGAAAAGGCAGGAAGCTGCCTAATTAGCGGGCTGGTCCTACAGTAGGGAGAGCCACTGTGAGACAGCCAGGGTTGAAACGGAAATGGGACCTAGGAGGAGCTGCTGGTTAACAAGTGGCCCTTTCTGCCAGGTGACTCCATTATAAATACGTTTTCAGCACAGTTTCATGTTTACATAGTCACACAAATGAGCCCTCAACCTTATCTGGTTAAAAGGGCTCACGTCAGGAACAGTGAAAACTAGCCAACTTTATTATGCAGAAGCATCTGTCATTTTGTGGATTGGGTATTCTTTCTTCATATCTGGTTCGTTTCTGCCTAAAATGCGTCTGTGGCTCTTTGTTCTGCTTCTTGGCATTTTCCAGTCATAACCTACAGTCAGTACTGACTTGCCAACTGCTCCACCCAACTCAGACGTCTATGCTCACCTGTAATTTTTTTTTTATTTTAAAAAGAAAAACAGAAAAAAGGATACAAATGTTAGAGAATTTAAAAGAAATAGTAGGCAATTAACACTATATGGCCTATTGTTATCTTAGAAGTAATTGTACAGGTTACAAGATTTATGCACAGAAAAAAATGATCAAACAAACAATCATAGCACAATCTGTTCTTTTGGATGAACTACCAGACATGGGTAGCATAGTTATCTATCTTGTATATATATATACGTACAAATATATATATTTGTACATATAATCTTTTCCCTTCTTCCTTTTCTCCTCTTCCCTAACCCCACTGTTTTTTCCTTTTGGCCATTTTCTTTCCCTTTCATTATCACAGTATCTGTTGTACATTTTCTCACTTTGCCTGTGGGTTACGTCAGTGCTACCACACCTGGGCCTTCTAGGTTGACTAAAGCACATGTTGGTGCAAAGAAAGTGAAGAGATTCAGTAGGAGAAGAGGAATTGACTCTCTGTCAAGAGGAAGTTAGGGTGCTACAGAAAAAACTTGGAATTTGTAGAAATGAGAACAGAACTTAAATCTCACCTCTTTAGTCTTTTTGTTGTATGACTTTAAGAAAATAACTTTAGTTCCTTGAGGGTCAGTGTTTTCATCTAAAACTTGATTAAATATGGAAACAAATCATTCTCTCTAGAGCGTGGCAGGGTTAAATGAATAATAGTGACAAGTACATGAGAGCTTCTGCCTTGGCAAAAAGCCTGAATGCATGGGATTATCTGGACTCCCTCCCACACCATCACTAATAACACAGTTAGAGATTTATTAAAATATAAAGATCCATAAGGAAAAAGAGACAAGGAAAGCAGATATCACTATGCAGATATCAATAAAGTTTTCGAAACTGTACCTAGGCTATAAGACTCGGAACTAATTTTATATAAAAAAAAAACTGGGACCCATATCATCACAAATGGGTAATGTCAATAAAAATCAGCCACCCTGAGCTAGTATCAGATGGGCTCAGGGATCCTTCAAGGCTAGAAACAAGATTGGTTTGAAGTTTGAGGAGCCAATGAAAGACCAGATGTCTCACGCTAAATGCAGAGATCATTCTAGGAAATACTGAGATCATAAAACGCAGAGATCATTCTAGGAAATACTGAGCCCAAGACTCTCAGGACTCAGCGATATTAGGTATGAAAAAGAAAGAAGTCAAGCCCTCTAACTAAAAAATGGAGGTTAATGAAATATTGATATCCTGAATGGTAAAAACTTCATTTCCTTTACCTTTTTTAAAAGAGAGCAGAGAGCATCTCTTTAGTAAACGGACTCATGATAAAAGACCTATGACTGTAATACTCAGAGGTCCTACAACAGCAGGCCAAGAGCATCCCACCTGCGCAGTGCATAGCTGGGTCTGCCAATCAGCAACTTCATCTGTACTCACAAAGTCTTCTGATTAGGATTTCAAATTGTCATTATTAACTAGGAACAAACAACCAGGGCCCACTAGCATCTCACAAAGACCAGTGCAAAATACGTAAGGTGCCAAGGCATAATAAACTTCAAATTCCATGTTGGACTTCAAGGCATCCCTAAAACAGGTAGACAAGAACTAACTACAGAGATCAAATCCTCACTCACACTGGGGATATAAAACAGGTAAAGAGAAAGGACAATCAAGAGATTTTGTTTAAAAAAAAATCTATGTGTGTTGCACTAGTACTTGGAGAGATGAGAAATGGCTCCTGATAACTTTACATCAGGAGAAGGACTTCCAGCCAGGCACAGTGATGCAGGCCTGGCCTATAATCGCAGCACTCTGGGAGGTGGAGGCAGGAAGATTAGAAGAGCCCAGCCTGGGCAACTTGGCAACTTACCAAGATCCTGTCTCAAAAAGGGAGGGGGATGGCTCAGTGTTAAGGCTCTGAGTTCAAACTCAAATACCAAAAAGAAGGGGGGCATCCACCCATATCTGTATGGTCTGCCATCAGTGGGACACAGTGGATGATCTCTGACGCATTCCTGGAGAAGTCTGCAGCTGAAGCCTGGCTGCAGGGACCTGGGACTGTGAAAACAGGCACAAATCAGCAGAACACCCCTGGCTGTAAGAGGAAAGTGCAAGTTTCCACGGAAGGAAAGATGATATAAAACCACTTTGATCATACCTAAGGGGTCGCCTGGGAGGAATGAAGGAAACCATGAATAAAGATCTGGGTAACTGATCCTCAGAGAAACATGACACAGGGAGAACAGCCAGCCAGGACGTACAGGACAGTTAGGAGTTTGCCACTCAACACACACAGGACATAGTTGAACATGGTCAGATCTGGAGAGCTTCAAAGCAAGCTGGCAGCTCTGCTGGGGAAGTCAGCACTTTCCTGCCTCCTTCCTCATCTGCCTTCTGTCAGCCTTGGAAGCCTATGGGGGAGGTCCCCCAACCCCCAAGGCCTTGGAAAGGCAAGAGGTCACACCTCTTAGTTACTTCCCAGAGCTGTGAGGTCCTGCCAGGGTGAGAGTGGCTTTTCCACTTTATGTAATTTATCTACTACCAAAAAGGTTGCTGTGACATTGAACCACCTAAAGACTTAGTTTTTGTACTTTTAATCTTAAATTAAGTACATATTCAGAACTCTTTATTAAGCGCAATCAGAAGACTGCCCAAGCTATTATTTAGGAAAGAGAAATATATGTAGTCTTTTTTATTCTAAAAGAACAGGAAAACACAGACGAAGTTTTTTCGCGTTGTGCATGAGTTATATTTATTCGAAGAGAGCATAAAGAGAAGTCAGAATAAAACTGAGACAAAAAAAAAAAAAAAAAAAAAAAAAAACTTGCAAAGAGTGAAAAGCAGGCCACGAAGAAATGATCCAGAATAAGAATGCAACATTCGTAGATATGCGTTGATTATGCGAGCCGGGAGACAGTTAAGCAAGGTCATAGCATGGTTTGGGACGAAGCCCCTCTCCACCGCCCCTGTCCTACCTTCCGAGCCAAACACCTCCCCACAGTGCGCGCAGAAGAAGTGCTCCGGGTGCCAGGTCTGGTTCATTGCCGTCAGCACTCTCTGGAACAGGCACACACAGAGAGACATTAGAAGCTGCCAGAGGTCCTGGCTTCTGCTTGGGTGGCCGATGCAGCCCTACACCAAGGCACTTACGTCCAGGATGGGAGCTGCGCAGTAGGCACAACGCGGCGAGAACAGGTGGTGGTAGTCCTCGGGGCAGTAGGCCGAGCCGCTCCGCTCGAAGAAAGGATTGGAGCCCAGCTCTTTTTTGCAGTGAGTACAGATGAAGTGCTCCGGATGCCACGACTGCCCCAGCGCATGGATCACCTGGCATAGGGGTGGCAGAGCCCGACCTGAGAGCTGGTAGATGCCCAAGACCCAGGGGGCGCACAACCCAGAGGGCGCTCTCCATACCACCCTCTATCCAGGCAGCACCCTTGCCCTGCCACAGCACAGAGGTCCAGCCCCAGATTCCCCCCAGGTGGCCACTGTCTGTAGAAAATGGTTTCTGGGTGGGTCTCTCATCAAGCCTGCCAGTGCTCTCTACCTCTCTCCTGCACCGGGCATTGGAGGAGAAAAAACAAGGCGCCCACTGGGGAGGAACCGGAAGTAACTGCGGCCTGGTGCAAAAGGGATCCTGGGAGAGGAAGAGACCACAGGAGTTTTTTGCTCCCTTGCTCTGGCGCTCATCTATCCTCCCATGGCCCTCATCTCTCAGTGCCCCTTTTCATGGATTTGGTGAAGGGTGGTATAGAGCAAGAGTATGCTGCTATGATAGGAAGCTACATAAGGCTAAAAAAATGTAACCGATCAATTTAGATCAGAAATGTTTGAACAAGGGAGCAGGGAGAAAGGTCACCCCAGTAAAGGCAGGGCAGAAAATGAATAAGAGCTCAAATCCAGGAGTTAAGATCCCGCTAGTGTCAAATCCTGCATCTATTTATTTCTAGACCTCTGGCATCAGTGAAAAGTCTCTGAGCTCTGTTTCCTCCTCTTTACAAAGTGAACAGTTGCAGAGTCTCCCTTAAGGGCCAATGGGACCATTAAAGGAGGAAGTACTTGTTTACAGGTGCTTAGAATTAGGGTTAGGATTACAGGGTTAGGGTTGAAGAATTAGCATTGGTGTTAGGGTTAGAGTTGAAAAGTTAGTGCCCAGAGCTCTGTGAGTGGTCATTGATTATTAATGATTACTATAATGCCTTAGAATATAAGGAGAAGAGCCGTGGAACTGGGACAAATACAGAGACACAAATGCTGTTCCATCAGTACCTAGGCTCAACCCACCTTTCCAGCAATTGGCTTCCGGCAAGAAGCACAATAGCCCTTGGGCACGGTGGCAATGCCAAGGTCCTGAAGTTCCTGCTCCAAACCTCCAAGCATGGAGTCCAGGGAAGCTTTCTGATCTTTCTTGTCTGGCAAGTGTTTCCTGCTGGTATCTATTTTCACTGCAGTCTGTTAGAAGGAAAGAATGACCTTCAAGCTCTGTTTTCTCACTGGCAGCAACAGTTTCACATGCTCATCGCTGCTGACCCAGCCCCTGTCCTCCTCACCTCCTCCAAGGCACTGAAGGAATCCAACGTTTTAACACCTGTAGAAGTACTTTCACTTCCTTTTCATTCTCAGTGCCTCAGCCCAAATGAAATTTAACCAACATTCTTCTACTAGTGGAAAACTGAGTTTATGAAGATGATACCTTCCTCCCTCTCATAATGATCCCCCACCGCCATTTGACGTCTTCCTTTTATGCAATTATTCTTCCATATTTGTCCAACACCTGCTCTGTGCTAGTCACTACTCTAGGCACCAGGAATAAAGCCAAGAGCAAGTTTCTCCTCTGCTGGACTTTGCTTTCTGTGGATAACAGACCATGACTAAAGAAATGTGCTGCAGTGGCAGGTAAAGAAAACTATGCCTCATAAGTGAAGAAAGAAGTGGGAGAGGGCAAGATGATGAGGGTGACTTGATTTAGGTGGAGGTGACCAGAACAGGCCCCTCTGAAGAAGAGATACTTGAGCAGAACTATGGGTGATACCTGGGGACCCAAAAATACTGATGTTTGTAGGAAAAGCATTCCAGGGGGAGAAAGGAAGTGATTGGCACATTAGAGCAGCTGAGACTTCAGTGGGACCAGGACAGAGGGACCTTGACAGAGAAGGCATGAAGAGAAAGGCAGGGATCACACTGGGCCCTCGTGGTGGTAAAAGCTTGTTTCCCAAGGTGACAGGAACCACTGGTGGAATCAGGAAACAGTGACTGTTGGGGTGTGTGTGTGTGTGTGTGTGTGTGTGAAGGGAAATAGATAAGAGCTGCTGATGGGTCCGACATCTTTGAGCAAAACTTCACATAACTATTACAAGCCACTCAAAGGAAGATCCTCAGATTACAAAACAAAGACGCCTGCTCCCCCCCCCCCCCCCCCCCCGCTCCCCATCACTTCAGGTCCTCACTGCAGCTCTTTTTGTGCTGCCATCCACTTCATGCTCCGATGCCCAGAAAGCTACTATGGCTCTCCATGTCCTCCGTATGCGCAGCCAGACTTGCACTGTCTCCGGCCCACTGTCCCCACTTTCCCTTTCCAGCTTCATCTTTTGTTATGCTGTACAAGGCCTCATTGTTTAAAGCCCAGGAGCCCCCACCCTCCCAGAAGGAAGGTGATCTGTCACTGTCTACCTTGGGCCTCTGCTCACTCTTGTTACTGCCTGGAGTAACCCCAGGTATCTCACCAGGCATAATCCTCATTTCCCTTCAAGCAACTCTGGCCCTCTGACAGGTTTTTTTTTTTTTTCTCCTCTGTTACACAATATTCATTTAAAAACAAAAAAGATACATTACATTAAGATTTAACAATGCCAGGTTATAAGCTAAACCAATTAGAAAACACAATGTAAATTTCATTACCTAAATTTTTTCTGCCACTTTCAGACACAGAGCACCATGACCAGTTCACCCAGCTTTATTGCAGACAGGAGCTAATCAGAGCACGTGAGCCATGAGAGAAAACAGGTTTATGTGTTTACTCCTGTGACTCACGTGTGTCTCACAGTCATGCTGGACAGGGGCAGGCTTCCAGAGGCCATGGAGGTGAGATTCCTGCCTTCCCCAATCACACAGTGTTATATTCTGCCTTACAGTTATTTCATAGTTCACCAGTGTACATCAGATCTTCCAACCAGATTTAGAAAAATTGTGTGCTCTTTCTCAAGAAATCTAAATGTCATTTCCTTGATAAATCCATGAACCCACTTATCTGACTGCCATCTCCTGCAGGTCCTGGGAGCTTGTCTTTCATGTTCTGAAGCAACAGCAAAGAAGTCGATTGCATCTCGGTCTGGGATCCAAGCACCTATTCCCCCTCCTTGGGCCTCTACCTGTCCATCAGCCCCTCTGTCCTGCTCGGCCAGGTCTCTGTGACAGTCTTTCTGTATCACAAGCCTCTGGGCTTTCTCTCTCCAACTAAAAGCACTTCTCTTATCTCCTTATGTTTAAACCTGTGCATTCTTCAACCTGAATCCCTACCTCCTCCCCACTCTGCTGCAGTCTGAATCACTTCTCCGAAGCCTTAATGTTTGCTCTGTATAAAATATAGCCAGCCCCCTGCCCTGTACCCTGTAAATGTTAGAGAGGCTTATGCCTCAGTTTCCCAAGCACACTTCAGTTGTGTCCAAATAACACATGTCACAAAGCTGAATTCCTCCACTGAGTAAAATTTAGTCTGAGGAAATGAACAATCACTTGGCATTCTCGGGCTGGGAAGTGCACCAGTACCCCTTTGACCCCAGATGGTCTCTGATCACCTCATACTCACCTCTTCCTGCATGTCATTCAGGTGGGCCATGAGCTCATCCAACTGAGCAGCTGCCAGGGTTTTAGGAGGTGTTGGTGATTCCTTTGGCCTTTGAGGAAAACAATCTTACTAGTATATCCAAACTCAGATCAATGTCAAGTCACATATAAATCACTAGACAATGCAACTTTAACTATTAACCTTAGACGGGCAGTATTTAAATATCTGTTACTAGGTCTTTTATCTCCATTTCTTCCTGGTTATCTCAAAAAATAACCAATGTTCTCAAGTGCATGCAGGAAGCTCCTGGCTATGCAGTTGTGAAGCCTTTCTTCTCTGACTTCCAAGTACTCTGAAAAATACTTTGAAGCCATGGCGCTGTGTTTTAAGTTTTAATAGCATTGTTGCTAAAGTGTAACAAACTATATCTCCTCTCATTTACTATCAGGAAAAAATTGTTTTTCTAAAATATTGACAATATTGAGTAAGAACCACCAGCCTAAGGTCCTAGAGCCAGTTCCCTGTCTGCCCATTTCCCCTCCATCTGCCACTGCTTTCCCACACGGCTCTCATCACCCTGAGAGCCTCACGTTGTTATTCCTTGGTCCTTAGTAGAAGAGCTTTGCAAACACCTGGTGTGTAAAGTTTAGATGATGTATATGATGTTAGCCTCATATTTATATAATTGTAAATAAATTATGAATAAATAAAACTTTGGGCTCAGCCAATAAATATACATTTTGAGTACCTGTATAACCATTAGCAAAATTAACTGCGCATGCTTGCAGAATTAAAGCTCAATAAATTCTAGAAAGTAAATCATATAGATCATATTCGTAGGTTGCAGTGAATAAAAGTATAAATCGACCTTTAGAAATACCCACTTACAAAAGAGAAAGCATTTTCTAAATAATTACTGGGAGTTTTAAAAAGCTAAACTGAGTTTTAAACTATTTCAGAAGTAGCAATGAGAAAACACATGCATACACACACATACACTCTTGGAGTTGACAGCAATATATCGTTGAAAGAAAAATATATACATAGACAATATGGAAAATAAGACCAATAAAAAAGCAAAACTTACAGCTCAAGAATCTAAAACAACTCTTTCCCAAATAGTAATAAAATAATAAGGTAATGGAGCAGAACACAAAGGGGGAAAAAATGACAGCTTTTAGGAGGCATCACAGAAAACATGCAAGTACCAAATGGCCAAGAAGTGAATGAAAAAATGTTCAACATTTTTAGCCATTAGGGACCACAAAGCAAAATTACCTAGGACATCCATTTCCCCCAGGCAGGATGGCTGTCATGGGGAACCGAAAGAACCATGCTGGCCAGGGGGCTGAGGTGGGTGGGTTCTACCCAGGTGTGAATGCCAATCAGTACAGCCACTATGGGAATCAGCATGGAGGTGCCTCAAAAACCTAAAATTACATCCCCAAAAAAGTAAAAACCATATTATTTGACACAGTTGCACCACCCACTAGTAAACTTCTGAAGAATTGTAAGAGCATATTATGGTGATATATGCATACCCATATTACAGCAATAAATTCTCAATAGCTAAGTGTAGAAATGGCTTGGATACACATTAAAACATGAATACACAAAGAAAATGTGACATATATCACATTTATTCTTACATATGAATTATAATACATGGAATACATGCATTATGATATGTATACATGGGGCTGGGGGTTTAGCTCAGCGGCATAAGCACCTGCCTTGAAAGCAGGCAGTCGTGAGTTCGATCCCCGGTACCGATAAAAAGGAAAAAGACAAAAAAAAACAAAACAAAACAAATGATATGTATACATATATAGGTATTATTCAGCCATAAATAAAAACAGAATCATGTCTTATTCAGGCAAATGATTGGTTGGAAACGATGTTAAGCAAAATAAGCCACTCTCAGTTAAATATTACATGTGTTCTCTTATGCAATCAATCTAGCACTACAATGAATGAATTAATTAATTAAGCAGAGTTGACAGGAAGCTAGAAAGTAGTCCTTCAGCGATGGGGAAGAGGAGGAGGTTGAGCAAAGCAGGTGAAAAGGGAGGCATAACAGGGATGAAAATAATCAAAATACACTATACACATGCACCAATATACCAAAAGGAATTTCATTATTCTGTATCATTAACGTGCAGCAATAAAAAAACCTTGCAAGTACATAGAAAAACACAGAAAATTATTCCACTAGTCTTGTAAATATCATAGAAAATTAATACTAGAAAGGATCAGTGTGTGTGTGCACACAGGAACAGTGTGTGTGTGCGCGCGCATAGGAACTGTGTGTGCATAGGAACAGTGTGTATGTGTATATATGAACTGCATGTGTGTGCATAGAAACAGTGTGCATGTGTGCATGGGTGTGATATATGGATACAGATGTAAAGGGAGACTGAGTTAAGAAAAGGGAGAGAAGCTGAAATAAAAATAGCAGAAATATGTTCTTTAAAAACTGATGGCTGACTGGTGTTTATATCAATTGTCCAAAAACTGGTTCAACATTAGGGAAAGGATTAATATAATTCATTATACTAATGATTGAAATACTTTATAAATATATTGACAGGTGCTGAAAAAATAATAGAAAGCAAATTTAACTATCAGTCCTATTGTTGAAAATTGAGGAGAAAAAGAAAGATGTCATGACCTGGTACAATGTATCTACAGAAATATATGCCAAAAAACAAAAAGAAAGAAAGAAAATCTATGCCAATGCCCACACTTAATAGTCAAATAGTAAACATATTTCTAATTAAGAGATAAGCAGATATAGAGGCTACTACTTATTTTAATCTTCAATATATTCTAGAATATATTATTAAACATAGTTAAAGTAAAATAAGAAAATTATATAATTTTTAAGAAGACAAAACACTCTCAGTTTTATTTTCTTTTAAAATGGATGATGCAATCATCAAACTAGAAAATGTGACATATATGATCAATGGTGACGAGAATACAATGAAACAATATCTTTCCAATATAAAAGCAACTAAAAAATTCCGTAGATTAGAATAACTTTTCCATAATCCTGACAAAAATTAGGATTTCTATGAAGAAAAATCACTGACAGACATGAAGATAAACACACTTAACTGAAAATGGGAAAGGGATGTGAAGACACACTCCAAAGACGGTGGATGAATGGCCAACAGGTGAATAAAAAGATTCAACATAATTATCATCAGAGAAATGTAAATCAAAACTACTAGGAAGTGCTGCCTCAGATCCATCAGGATGGTGATTACCAACAAGTCAAAGGACGATGTTGGCACACTGTAGGAAAAGGGAACCTGGGCACACTAGTGAAAGGAATGCAGATTGGTGTAGCCATTGTGAAAAACAGTAAGGCAGTTTCTAAACAAATTAAAATGAGAACTGCCATGTGACCAGCCATCTGTCTTCTGAGCATACACTGGAAGATATGAAAGATCACCTGGTCAGGGATCCCTGCTGTGTCATCAGAAACAGATTATCAGACTGTGAGTAATAATCTAGGTGGAACATCATAAATTTAAAAACTTTACATATGACACAGACAAAGTAATTTGAGGTGAATTAAATATAAAAAACATACAAATATTTTTAAACAAAAATATTAGAAGAAAAAGGTGGGTTTTTTTTCAAAATTTAGAGTGATGGAAGCTTAAGGAAAAAAACTTTGAACTGAAGTAAAGACAAATGATAGAGCACATCTCAAAATTTTAAACTTGATTAAATATTTGAAACAAAGAATATTCAAAATTTTTGTAAAACATCTATAAGTCAATGATAAAAGGATGCCTCTAATCCTAGCATTCAGGAGACTGAGGGAGGAGGATTGATTGCCATGAGTTCCAGGCCAGCCTGGGCACATAGTGATTTCAAGGCCAGATTGAATTACAGAGTAAGACTGTATCTCAAAAACAAAACAAAAGATGAAACCAATTATAGAAAATATGTTGAATCTCGTTAATATTTAAGTAAGCAATTTAAGGCAATGAGATATCAATTTTTACATATTAGTTAAAATTTTAAAATTTTGACAGCATACAGTGTTGGCAAAAGTCAGGATTCTACTTATACATTCATATTTATATTACCATAGTTAGTTATGTAGATTTATCAAATACTTTTCAAAGCATCATCTACCAATATTTCAAATGCATATATACCCCTTGATTCAGCAATTCTCTATCCTACAGAAAAATTAGACACATATACAAATATAGATATAGATATACTGCAAGAAGTTCATTACAATTTTTTGAGCAAATTGAAAATAAACTAAATGGAATTGTAGCCAAATAAATTACATAGTTTTCCAAAGATAGAGAATAAAATACAACCTCTAAAAATTAAATACAAACATAGATTGTGTGTAATGAAAAGACTTCTAGGATATATTATTAAATCAAAATAGTAAGGCCCAGAACAGTATGAAAAATATCCTCTGGCAGTTGATTTCAGAAAGAGATGGTGTCTTTTTCTCCTTTGTATTTCTGAGTTCTTTGACTTTTACTCATATGAATGAGTTTACGAAATAACTTTGTATCTTAAGTTGCCTTTTCAAACCAAGACAAGGGTCATCTATTCTAGAAAAAGAGACAGTCCATGCCAAGGCATGAAGTGTGAGGTGGCCAGAGGAGTCAGCGGTAAAATCCCATGGTTACCTCATCTATCGTATGTGTGTGTACACAAGCCCATATATGATTCTACAGACCACTACCAGCGATCTTTGTAAAAAGGAAGTATAGCGATACTTAGGTAAAATTGTTTTTAAATATAACATTATACGTGTTAAACAAAGAGTGTGAAGATTGCAGATATGGAAAGAAACAAATTGAACCATACATAATCTCTGTCTCAGGAGGCAACTGTTTGCATATTTTGGCTGACATCATTATAGTCTTTTATAAGTATGTACAATTTTAGAAAAAAAAAGTTTTTTTGTACTGGAGATTGAACTCATGACCATGCACTTGCAAGACAGGCACTTATGCCACTGAGCCAAATCCCTGGCCCCAATTTTAGAAATTTTAGATGACTTTTTCATAGCTTGTACATACAGCTGGGCAAATGTAACAGCTAGTGCTTACAGTATAGCTACAGAATGACTGATCTTCCATGAAAAGCTTCACATAGCTCCTCTTTAAGTCTTCGTAAGAATCTTGAGAGCTGGGTACCATCACCTTGGATGACAACACTGGGCCTGACAGAAGTTAAATCTTTTATCTACATAATACAGGAGGCAAATCACAGAGACTGGGCCTGTAGGCAGCCAAGTTCATGTTTTCTTATCTTCCAAAATGTTATACTGTTCTCAAATATATAATGTGTGCTAATTCATCGAAGCAAATTTATTGGTGGGCATGCAGACTTCTAATTTTTATTATTGAAATCAGTACTTCTAAACAAATGTTTACATCTATATGTGATTATTTCCATGGCGCAAATTTTAAGAAGTGGAATCATTAGGTCAAAGGATATGACAGGCAACTAACTCTGGAATCAGGTGTCAGTGTGAATCAGGAGAATGGAAGGAGAATGGAGTTAACCTCTCACTGAACCAAACAGCAGTCTTGCAATGTCTCTCTCTCTCTCTCTCTCTCTCTCTCTCTCTCTCTCTCTCCACACACACACACACACACACACACACACACACACACACGCACGCACACACACACACACACACACGTACACACACGTACACACAGATGCAAAGTCACAAAAGAGAAATAATTCTAAATGTTTATCAGCCAGGAAAAAAGTACAAAGGAAGTACAAAGAAGTACTCTCCTAAAAAAAAAAAAAAAAAGGATAGTCTTCTGAGCACTTACTTATTTTTTAATTTTTGACAAAAGGAAAATGTAAAAGGCAAATGGGCCATCTTTCTCCCTGAAGATAAAAACAATTTGTCTTTAAAGTATAGAGCAGTGCTCTCCCATATGCCAGTAGATTCTTTTTGTTTGTTTTTAATCTGAGAACAAGTGGTCAGATATTCAAGTAACTGACTCACTTCTTGGAAGCTGCTAGCTGGACGGAGCTCCAGGTCTCTCTCAAACCCTTTTAGCCGTGGTACCTTAGTAATTGCTGCTCTGCCGCCTGCTCCTTGGCAGACATGTGAGACCACCCCTAGAATAAATGCAGCATCTTAGTCCCATCTCATGTGACACTTGGGGCACACTTGTACTTATTCGAAGACTCCCCTTTGGTTTTTAAGGAGTACTCTCCTTGCAGCATGGGCAGAGAAATAGATCCTTGTATAATACTCTAATAGTAATTGAACAAACCCTCTAATATTCTAACTAAGAAATAAGACCTTGCAGAGTTGATAACAAACTAATATGCCAATACAGGAAATGTGCCTGAAAAGAGAAAAACCTCAAAACAGAGGTCCCCTGACTTTTTAAAAAAGTGTTTTGCAATGCCATCAGCAATAATTTCATTACTTAAGAGATTTTTAATAATAAAAATCACAAGATGTGTACTGAAAACAATCTAGACAGCTTACGCAATCAGATGCACTGTGCTAGATATTTCCCCATTTATTTATCTTACATTTTTATGCATTTTTCCTGTTTCTAAAATTACTATTTTCATTCATGTTCATTTAGATACACTTCTAAATTACTTCTCGCATTGCTATTAATATATAACTGTTTTTTTAACATTTTTTTTTCTTTTTCTCTTTTTATCGGTACCGGGGATTGAACTCACAACCGCCTGCTTGCAAGACAGGTGCTTATGCTGCTGAGCTAAATCCCCAGCCCCAATAACTGTTAAATATACTATTCCCAGGACCAGGATGTAGCTCAGCAGCATAGTACCTGCCTGGCAAGCATGAGGCCCTGAGTTCAATTCCCTGTACAAAAAAAATTATACTTCCCTGCTATATTCAGCTGGCACTGACTATGTTCAAGATATAACGGAAGCAGAGTTCAGTTACTTTGAGCAGGCCAGAGTCGTCTTCTCTCTGTGCACACCCGCTTTCCTGGCTCTGAGGTACACCAGCCTCAGGGTTCCAAGTGTCTTTTCAAATGATTTACATTGCTCTCTCACACACCCCGACAGAGCAGGTATAGTTCAGTAAGGGAAAAAATGTTTGGCAAGGTCCAGACAGAGAAACACAAACAAAAAGAATTTACCCCAGAGCTTGATGATTACACACGTGATGGGAACAGCTCAAAAGCGAAACAGTCATCAGATAACCCAGAGATTCGCCACCCCAAGAAGTCATCACTATCCCTGACCTAAGGGACACAGCGAAGAGGCAAAGTGGTCCAAGCCGCAGCAGAGCTGCCCTGCACAGCAGTGGTCTTAAAGTCTTTCCTGGCTGGAAAGACTGCAGCCAGCGGAGATGCTGTCTTTCCCTTTCCCTCCAGGCTTTCTGCAGGGCCTCCACTAGAGCTACCCCCAGAGAGCCAGCCCTCCAACCCCCCACCCTCCACCCCCAAGCTTGGAGACCCCAGCTGCAGGGTGGCTTCTCTGGAATGCAGAGTAGAGGGAAGGGAGGAAACTCGAGGAAATGGGCCAGCGTCCAGTAGGGAAGGCAGCAGGCGCTGTTTGTGCTGACCGGCAATGGCCACTAGCTGATTACAGTGCCAGATGGACCACAGGGGGGGCGCCCTGGCTAGTTTTGTGAGATATATGTTCACTTGTACTGTAATCTGAAGGCTTGGCTTCCTGGGTTTAAGAAACCAGTGTTCACAGAGAGCCCCGCGTGTACTAGGCACTGATTTCTTGCCATTTTATTTTGCTTTGATTTTTTCACTGGGACAGACCACCAGGGGGAAATCCTCATCGGAAACTTCCTGGACTTGGGACAAACTGGTCTCATGTGCACTGTCTTACTAAACTGGTCTCACTCTCACCAAAGTAGAAAGTGCCCTCAAGTGGAAAGTTTTTAAAAAAGACTTCTGTAAAAGTCCTTCCCCTATTTTTTTCTCGTGCATCTGCACTGCTGGCTGTCATTCTGAAACCCGACAGTGCGGAGGACGCCCTTCTCCAGGCACGCAAGCATCCTTACTGTCCACCCTGCAAACCCTTTCATTGTCTAGTGTCTGCAGCTGAAAGCTATTGCTGAGAAGAGAACCAGAAAAGAGATTTTTTTTTTCCCATGTCAGTTCGGTTTTGGCTAAAGGGAATTGAGCAACAAGTGATTCTGCTGCTGTGTGTAACTTTTACAGAAAGGAAATCGCTTGGCCGCCTACGTGACTTCCGAGCAAATACGAAAGTAGCACACGCTCAATAGCCTGTGAAGCTCGCTGCCTACGTGTGGCTTTCGTCCTACCTCTGATGTAGCTGGAATCGTGCACAAATTTCTTCAGGTGTGTTTTCTCCTTTGCAAACTGGAGCATGATATCAGGAATAGAGGCACCAGTGCTTGGGGGAGACTCTGAGCTGTTAACACTTTCTCAGGTGGAAAAGGAAATAGCAGAGCCCCCCAGCCTGCACAGCCCATCTGGAAGCCAGGTGCCTTGTGAAACTGCTGCAAGTTGAGCAGAGTTCTTCCTCTGCCAAAGAGGACAGGAAGAGGAGGAGGAGAAAGAAGAGAAAGAGGAGGAGGAGGAGAAGGAGAAAGAGGAGGAAGAGGAGTAGTTCCAATAATAAATAATGACAAACCAAGCTGCTGTCCAAATTTTGATAAAAATTTTCTAATGACTTTAATTTTTAAAAATACTAAACAAAATCAAAAGCGTACCTGTTGACATTGGGCTCGTGGATATTGGTAGTAGATCTGAGCTGCACCTAAGACAAATGGGGACAGAGAGGAGTCAAGGTTAACTTTTGTTTTTAGAATGGTGGTGCTTATCAACATCAAGATGTGTTTAGCTTTGAAGGAGGAGGATGAGAACATCTCTGAGATTCCCTTCCTAAGACAGAAGAATCACCAGCCACACTGCAGAAAAAGGCCGAATTCTAAAAAAGCTGGCATTTGATCAGGCATAGCAGCTCCTCCCTGCCAGAAAAACAAAGGTGGAGTGAAGTCCGAGGTCCTCAGAGAGGAAACACAGGGCAAACAAAATGCATCGGAGTGAAGCCCTTTCAACCATTCAGGGGTGCTGTACTACTGTGCCATAAAGAAGGGTAAACTGAGAAACTCATAGGAAAATGGATACAGCTGAGATCAAAATATTAAGTGAACTAAATCAGACACACATGAGTTTCAATATCACATGATTTCCCTCATATGAGAAACCCAAACTCTACAGAAAGAGCAAAATAAAAGAAACAGGGAGGAGACCAGCGCTAGAAGGAGAGGAGTGGAAGGGAAGTGGGCGAAGAAAGAATGAAGATGTGTTGTGTACTTGTACTGGCTGCCCAGGAATATGGCCACTGTGCACTGCAAACAGGGACTAAGCACAATGGAAGTTTTAAAAAGAGTCAGCAGGTCCCTCAGGGAAGGCAGTGACAGGATTACACTTGACCCATGGAAAGAAAGAATGCGTAACTTTAAAACACAGTTGACCAGCACTTCATTTATTCACTGAACAAATACTGAATGCTGTTGTGTGCTAGGCAGGGGATGCAGCAGGCAAAACCCAAAACGAGAGACCACATAAAAATGGGCTGCCCTGAAGCTCACACTCTGGGGGTGAGGAGCAAGGAACAATTTAAAACTGGAACGATTCAGCGGCTGGAAGCTGAGACACTAAGGGAGACAGCAGCTGTTAAAAAGGGTACCTGAGCAAGTGCCCCAAGCAGCTAGAAAAGGACATCAACAGCAGGGTAAGGCCATCGATCCTTCCAGAAAGAAGGGCCGAAGCCTCGGTGGAGCAGCCAGTGGACTGGTGTGTCCTGTAAACAGTCAGCCCCAGCCTGGGAGGAAGGGGCCAGACCACACTGTAGTGCGTCCAGCTAATTTGCTTTAGGATTTTTTTTAGGATAAATGAGATTCTAAAGATAAGTCATGTAACCCTTTGAAAGAAATATGTGTTACCCGTAAACTTGATTTGATTACACAGCAGTGCCTCGGTTCACCACCAGAAGCCTTTGGCAAAATGGTGCTTCTCTTGGCAAATTTTACACTGGGTGGCAAACAGGACCCCAGCCATCTTCCCCAGAACTCTAGAACATCAGGAACCAAGTTACTATTGTAGTTCTAATTTAATTAATTAATCAATTAATTATTTTGTCTTTTTGAGATAGGGTCTCACTATGCAGTTCAATCTGGTCTTGAGCTCACTATGTACCCCAGGCTGGTCTCAAACTTGCAATGATTCTCCTGTCTTAGCTCCCATTTCGGGATTACAGGCATGCACCATAATCCCAGCCTCTAATTTTATTTTTTAAATAAAAAATTCTAATATATTTTAAATAACATATAGCTATGAACATTAAAACAAATTTTAACAGTCAAAGTGTTTAAAAATAGCACAAATAAATTAATTATTCTTTTTGTTGTTGTTGTTTTGTTTTGTTTTTTGTTTTGTTTTTTTTGTTGTTTTTTTTGTTTTTTTGTTTTTTTTTTGAAATTAATTATTCTTGATACCTAGTTACTCAGCTATCAGTGGCTGTGACACTTTGATACTCAGATGTTCTTGAATTTTCCTGTTTTCTCCATAGGATGCTATTATTTCCATAACACTACAGTCTACTGTGAAGCTGAAGTTATTATATCTGAATTAATACTTTTAATAATAAGATATTATTAATAGTTTTAATTTATGCTTCCCAGAAGGCCATAGGTTTTTAGTTGAGAAAATATTCTCTGCCTTGTAAGAGTGTGTGTGTTCAAAACAAATTCTGGTATATGGAAAGCCTCCTGTATTCTTTTTTTCACATTAAATTGCATAAATATTTTAGGGCAACATCTTCACAGGCTCTGTCTGCTTCTGTTCAGAGCTCTTTTATTCAATAATATTCCCATAAGCCAAAACTTTCAAGTTGTCTCTATTCGCAAGTCTTTTTCATTTCACCAAATACAGATTCTCTGAAATCATGGAGTTGCATGATTTCATTTCATTCTGGTAGAGCCTGTGTAAATTAATCTAATTAAAAAGAGGGATCAAAATTCTTCAAAGTCAAGACTTGACCGAAGCACAATTTTCAACTGAGGAAATTAAACCCTGTAAGCACTCATCTTCTGATTTGTTCTGTTTGTTCCTTTTGGCTTTTGTAGAGAGATATCTGAGCTACTTCCTTTTCAGAAGTTTTGTTGTACATAATAGTAACTTGCTAAAAGTTTCAAAAGCTGTATTTCCATGCCATATTCACTGAACAATATGATTAAAGATTTCCAACTGATTTTGCACATCATCACCACCTAAATTTGGGCTGCTTTACAAAAGAGTGTTTTGCAAAGGCTCAAGCACTTCAAAAATTCAAGAATGACAGAAAGAATATGCAATCATGCTGACATGCTTTGTATTGGATATCAGCTTCTGTCCCAGAAAAGTCTATATAATCAGTTACTTATTAGACTCTGTGTATATGCAGAAATCCTTGTAAATTCTGACATCACCATTTCCATTTTGATTGTAGATTACTGCAACTTGTTTAGATACAGATTTTATACACATCACAATCAATTCCAATTTCTGCTCCACAAGTTCCTAAGTTGATAAGAACACTGTGCACTCCAATGTATTCACGTTTCTCATTACACACACACACAAACACACACACAAATTATCCTTAATGTTGACCTTTTAAGCTAAATTTATAATGATATTGGCAACCTCAGGTTATTTATTTTTCATCTGAATGAACCTATAAATAATTGAACCCTTTCAACTAGATGAAAAAACACTATTTTAGAAGTGAATCTTCAAATTGAGACCTCTGATGATGTGGAAATAAAATTGTCATTCTTAGCTGGGCGTGGTGGCGCACGTCTGTAATTCCAGCACTCCGGAGACTGAGGCAGGAGTATTGCTGCCAGCTCGAGGTCAGCGTGGTCTACAAAGTAAGATCACGGCCTCCCTGAACTGAATTGCGAAACCCAATCTCAAAAAGACCAAAAAGAAAAAGAAAATGAAATTCTGCCATTCTGTGATGCTTTGATGAAAGAAACAACTCAAGCACTGAATTTCCAAGCCCAGGCAAATCTGGAATCCAAGGTGCAGTTAATGGTGATGGGAGGAGTATCCTGACAGAAGTAGAGAGCGCTCTTCACGGTGCAGGGCAAGTCTTGAGCCCTGAGCTGTGCACTGGAATTACGGCCCTGGCGCAGTCCTCTAAAGTGCAACCCTCACCGCGAGGCCGTCCCTGCAAGCCGGTTTTCAGTGGCCTGCCTCTCTCTGCTTGCCTCTGTGGGGCATCATCAAAAGTCTTTAAGAAAGTAAAACGTAAAGTTTTGGTTTGGGTTGTAGCCAGTCACTGAAAGGGTTGATTGTAAAGTCTGAAGTATTACAAAGTCAAACAGCTTCTTATGACTTTACACACACAAATAATAATCAGACAGCTTTAGCTGGAAGGGTCAAATATGTGCGAATCTCTGACAAGTGTGGGTCCTCTGTTCCCTAACATTGTGGGAATGACATTATGCCTCGTTTTTCGTATTTCCCAGGACCCTGGCAGGGGCGGGGAAAATGTGGTCATGACAGCATCACCCAGGTCCTGAGAGCCATGGGTGGGGCACCCAGGAGGCCAGCAACAGAAAGAGCTTACACTGGCTTCCGCTCCCACCTGGGGGTAGAGGGGTTGGCACCCAGCTCTGGGCCAGCCTTCTGTGTGTTCTCTGAGGAAGGGAATCACTTCTTAGGTTTTGTTCAAGCAAGATCAGGAAAGGAGACAAAATGCCCCGAGTCACATCTGCCAATCGGCCATCATAAAAGGAAAGCTCTGTTCACTACGTACTTGCATCCTACTCGGTGACTAGGTAAAACCACAGAAGAAGCAAGAAGAACCCAGTGGAGGTTAAGCCATGTTGGCTTATGTGGTTGCAGATATTACTAAGAAAACTTCTGGTTTTTTTAACTGCAAATTTGGAGTAAAAGGAAGTCTTAGGGTGCAGGAAAATTCTTCCCGGGGTAAACCAGAGCTCTCACAAAAGTCTTGAGATAAGAATAGCATGGCCTGGCTTAGGTTTTAAAGAATCATCGTAGAACTCAGCTGAGAACAGAAGGCAGACCAGGGAAAGAGCAGTTAGGAGCTGGAGACTGTAATCTAATAGTGAGAACAAAGGCGGCAGCTGGTAGATAGACAAATGAGCAGCGTCCAGGAAAACGCAGTTCCAGAGGGAACCTGCTCACGATCTCAGACTCCACATCCATGCTGTTCCATATAGTAAACAAGGATAAATAAGAACATCATAGTTCACAAACTCCACACAGGAAGAGCGCCTCCTCAGTCCTCTCACATAACTCCGTTTCCCTCAAAACAACTTCACATTATAACGTAGGGTGTGTTGACTGGGCCACAGGAAGAGAACACACACATCACTAATAGTACTTGACGATTTTAACTTCATCATGAATTGTTAAAAATGAGTTCTGGGTTTTTTTTTTCAAATACATTATATTTTCTGATTTAGTTTGAATCGTCTCCTTAGAGCTTTGTCATCTCTGTGTATACTAAACCATGGCATCTCCTCAACTATTCAACAGAAAATGAGCCCTAGAAAGGGGTGATCAACCACAAAGACTCATCTGAGCTGCTGTTGGTCCTTCCCCGGTGACTTCTTGGCTGGCTGAGTATGGTCAAACGGCATCGTGGCATCTCTGACCCCTAGATAATCCCGTCAGAATACACCAAGTGAGCCCCCAGTTATTTACCTGTACCATACCCTCATTAGGAAAAAATAAGTGATTCTCAAAGGCTTATTTTTCTGTGATTTTTTTTTTTTTTTTGTACCAGGGATCAAACTCATGAGCTCACATTTGCCAGGCAGGCACCTGTGTCATTGAGCTACATCCTTGGACTTTTCTATTATTTCTTCAATGTACCTCTCTTTTTAAGGAGAACCATCTCTAAATTGACACTGAAAAGTTATTTGTCCTTTCTCTTGAAAATATGATTCTCTTTTCATATCATTTTATGCACAGTCCAAATTAGTTTTCAGAAACATGTTCAAACATCTCTCTCGAAGGTATTGCAATAAATGAAAAGTTACCGTGGAGGGACCTGTGTCACTTTGAAGTGGTGGGAGATCTGAAGTCTTGCCAAGGTTGCTATCCATTTTGGAATGCTGGTTCAGGGGAGGAGCTGGGTTAGAATATTCATCACTGTCCTGCAGGGTGGAGCGTTCCAGTTCCTCCAATAGTGCATCTGTATCATAAGAAGCACAAGAATCACACTATGTGAATCTCCACAATCATTTTCCCTTAATCATCCCCACTGGGCCGCCATTTGACTCCTTGTACACTAACGTTATTTTCAATCCCTTCTTCTATTTTATTCCCTTTTTATTTTACTTCAAGAACATGATCAATTATACTCAGAGGTGTTTAGTGTCTCTGTTTTTGTTTTTCTGTGGTTGTATTCAATGTCACACATTCAGTCTATAATTTAACTTCTATGTTGCAGGCATTAATTTTCATCAATCATTTCTAGCATTTCACTCAAAGATCTCCAATTAGAGCTCTCCAATTAGAAAAAAAGGTAAATCCTAAATATAGTTCCTATCAGAGAAATATAAGCAATTTTGTTTCCATTTTTTCCAGCCATATCAGAGAAATAGCACATTCTTTTTTTTTTTGTCTTTTTCGTTTTTAACGGTACCAGGGATCAAACTCACTATTGCCTTCTTTCAAGACAGGCGCTTATGCCGCTGAGCTAAATCCTCTGCCCAGAAATAGCACATTCTTAAACTTGGTATTTTTTCAGACATCTCAAGTATTATCCTAAGTACGTACTCAAATTCTCAAAACAATATGTAAGTATTTTGAGTTTTAATGTGGAGAGGGAAAAGGGAGTTAGAGAACAGAGATATTGCAAAACAAAGTAAGATGTCAAAATTGAAATAGTTGGTATGTTTCTCTTGTAGTTTTCTTTGAAAATGTTCATGGACTTTACAGATATGCTACGACCTCCTTTTCTGTTGTAATAAAATTAATACAAAAATCGATAATACCAACTGTAGTGCTCAGGAGTTTACACATTTCACTGAATTATCCTAACATTTTGAGACAAATGATACTATTGTTCTGAAAAAGAGATGAAAATCAATGTGCATAGGCTCCTGACAGTAGACCTAGGATGTAAGTCTAGGCTATCTGATCCCTGCCCCTGAATAACTGAAAGTTAGAAGTAGCTGTCCCCTAGGGGCTAGGGATTTAGCTGAGTGGCATATGCACCTGCCTTACAAGCACACAGTCATGAGTTCAATCCCTGGTGCCGATAATAAAAAAAAAGTAGCCATCCCTGTTACATGGATTCTCGGGGCCACCTTAAGAATGACTGCTCTCCTAGTAGGGCAGTATTTTCAACTATGAGTCAGGATCCAAAACTGGATCTCTACTGAATTTTTTACCACAGATTACAGATTTTTAAAGTTTACAAAACCCTGGCTTTTATCATGTCTAAGGACCTGCCTGACTCTGAAGATCCCAGTTAAGGAAAATGAACTTCATTTATTTCAGAATTTTGGAGGGAGGACATTTCTTATTGGTATAAGACCTAATCATATTTACAAATCAAATCTTCTGTAGAACATTCTCACTCATCCATACCACAAAAATGTGACTTTTATGCACCATTTTATAGTTAAGCAATTTGAGCTACATTGTTCAGATCCAATTACCCTTGAATGAATAAACTGTTGAGTAAGAGAGAATGCCTACAGGTTGATATACTTAGCAGACTAATTTCAATGTATGAGGCTTATTTAGATCATTAACATGAAAGGATCAAGAATATTAAACCTAGAGCTGGTGTGGTAGCACCTGCCTGTAATTCCAGCACTCAGGAGGCTGAGGTAGGAAGATTGTTGCAAATTAGAGACCAGCCTGGGCTACAAAGTAAGCTAAAGGCCCGGGTGAATTGCAAAGTAAGACTCTGTCTCAAGAAAAAAAAAAAAAAAAAAAAAAAAAGAATATTAAACATTGACAAGTCGGGGCTGGGGATTTAGCTCAGTGGCATAAGCACCTGCCTTGTAAGCAGGCGGTCGTGAGTTCGATCCCTGGTACCGATAAAAATGAGAAAGACAAAAAAAAAAAAAAAAAAAAGTAAAAAAAAAAAACATTGACAAGTCGATAATATTAACTACAGTTAATGCATTTTAGAAGTGATATTTGAAAATACTATAATCTTGGTAGTTTTTAGGTGCGGTAAGGGCATTTCATGATATTGAGGAATTTCTACTAAGGGTGTTCTGGGTGTGATGCTGTATTATGGTTACTTGTATAAATATATATTTATGTGACAATTAATGCTAAAGTATTTACAGATAAATAATGTAATATCTGACATTGTTTAAAACAGTACAAGGATGGAAGTAATAGGTATATAAAATAAAATTAGTCAAGATTGTTCGAAAGTGACAAGGAGTGTGTCATATTTCACTGAACTATTTTCTCTAATATTTTATGTTTTAAAACTGTATAAAGTTTAAGGAAGTAAAAAGCAAACTAAGCCAAGTAAAACTTTTATCTCAGAATTTTAGTAGCCACAGTCAGTTCTAAAATTTAAAATTCTAAATTTTTATTCTGTATTCTTTTTCTGTTTTTCTAGGTTTCTTTCTAACTAGACATCACAGATCCTCCTGGCCTAATAAAAAGTAATTTAAAAAAAAAATTGTGGCAAGAGGGAGCTCATACCACGAAGAGTATGCAGTTTCCCATAGAATCATCAGCTAACCAAAGTTATTAAAACTCTCTTTTCCAAGCTCATGGGTTCCCCAGTCTTCCTTTCCTGCTTCAAGGAGCACACATCATCAGCACACTGGGGTTATGTCTTCTGCCAGATTCTGTAATTTGAAGATGACTAATCCCAGTGTGACCCATGAAAGCATGGGGGTGGGGTACTACTCCACAGAAAACTACTGTCCTTACTGCTTCACTTATGAAAATCAAACCTCCCTTCCCAAGAAAGAAGCTAGTGAGCACTCTTGAAGGTCTCCACTGATTGGGGGGTAAGGATTTCACTTAGAGCTGGAGCCCCTCCTGGTCTTTCTTATCTCTCATCCTCCCCTCAGGCACATTCATTTGAAATGTGAGTAGATTCGGTCTATTAACCTCCAAAGCAATACTGTGGAGAGGAAAAGTTTGTGCACCCAAGCCAACCTCTCCTCCAAAGTATGTCTGTGTAGGTAGGAAGAGAAACCCTTGACAGTGGCCAATGGGCTAACCATTTGAAGGATGTAGCCAACTGGATAATCCACACAAATGTTAGCTTCCAGGGTGTTTGGTACTTCCTGCATTTCTGGACAAGATTTCTGTGACATGCATCCTGTTCAGAAAATGTAAATGAACTCAACTTTTTAAAAACGTGTTACTTCGTTGCCCAGAACCCCTGAACAAACATACTTTTAATTAAGGAGATCACCTTGTAGTATAACTGGGCTTGTTCTCAGCTACTCCTGAGAGTTAACACTGGACACGTGATTTTTGCTTGTTCTTTTTTGCTGTTTTTGTTTCATGTTAAAAAAAAAAGGAGGACAATATCTACTTATAAGACTGCTGCAAATATTAAAATGATTAACATGTAAAAACTAGTTTTAGATTATGTCATTAAATAACTATCAGTATTATTTGCATGAAATGTGGTATTCCTAAAATAAAAGAGAAGAGTTAGATTCTGGTGAAAGTCAGATACAAATTCCCCCAACTCAGTAAGGGTAAGATTTCAGATTTTACCCAAAGTCCAAAATAGAATTTATCCTAACACAGAAGCAAATTTCACTTCCAAACCAGTTCAGTGTTTATTAAACACCAACTCTTTCTTCTGATTCACAACAGCTCTTTCCCCGATTTGCCTTCTTTCCCCTTTCTCTAGCTCTCCAATCAAAACAAGACGACAAAATGCAGATAGGTCTTCGTTACTGCTATTGTTTGCATCCTTGACTGATCTAGGAATATACACAACTCTGGAACATTGTGGAATTAACACGGCTAACCAAAAGAAAACCAAGTGAAAGTTACTCAATATGAGTCCCAAGAATAGCAAACTTTACTTCGAAGTTTGGCATAACGTTCCCAATAATCCTACTACTGGTTTCAAAATTGCCTCGACGTGGAAGTAAGTATTATATTTTCAGGCCATAACAATCTGCTCCTTCAGTATTCTGAATAAAAAGACTCAGCAAATAATCACTAGAAGCCTAGTACCATGTCTCTTTGATTTAATCCTAGACCTAGAGGGTAGAACAAATGAAACCACCCTCGCCTTCCTGCAGCCTCTGCAGAGCCTTTACTTTTGCACTTCCACCACATTTCTCTTCCTCTTGACACCCTTTCTCTTCTCCTTTCTTATGGTTCTCCCCAAATCACAGCTGGAGACATGTGTCGTCATCCTGTGATTTCCAGTAGCCCCCAGGAAGGCAAATACAAATGACCATAGTAAAACAGCCAGGTCACTGCCAGGGTAACTGCTGGAGAATGTGTTCTGTGGTTAGTACCATGCTCTCTGCCCCCTGTGCCACCGCAGTGAACTCAGTTCATTATGCCTCACTCAGGCTGGGCTGAGGATAGAAGTAAAAATAAAAGCTTTCAGCGTGATCCTCAGTCTGTCTAAGTACATCCCACCCCACAGGGAGATGGTTGCCCTGCCTTCATTCTCTGTTTCTTCAGCAAGCTCCTCACTCACCCAACTCTTCCATCACGCAGGGCCCAAGATGCTCTGGTACCACGCGCCACGGGGAAGAACTGCTTTAAAATGCAGTGTGGATGACGGTCCAAAGGAACTGAGTGAGACAGCCTAAAGCAGCCTCTAGAACCCTTTTTGGTTCCTGTATTTGCTTATCACTTCCTCTCTTGAACTTTTTTTTTCTGATGTGTTACAGTTGTTAAGATGGGACCCATATACAAAGGCAGGCTGTAAGATTTAAATTGTGGTAGTGCGTTGGCTGGGGTTCAAAATTAAAAATTAAAGATTTAAAATTAATTTTACAAAATTTAGCACTTATCACATTCTAGAATTCATGTTGAACTCATGGAAAGGCCAGACTTTCACCTGTGGTTTTTCCCAAGCATAGTTATTACACTGTGACTAAGCTTGAGTCTTCTTTATTCCTATAAAGTGGAGGCCCATGGAAGTAGCTCCCCTTAAACTTCCCATGATGGCTAACCGGCATCCAGTTCATTTAGCATCTTTGCTTACTTATTCAGAAATCATGCTCACTTGCTTTCCTGTATAAACTGCAAGCGCCTGAAAAGCAGGGTGGAAATAGCATAACATCCAGATTCATAGGCACTGGTTTATTCAGTGGTCCAAAATAAAAACATCTGTGGCCTAAAAAAAATAAAGCTGGAAAGATAAAAATCCTACATGCTAAGCTGCTTAAGCGTATACCTTTCCCGTTTACATGACCTTGTAGCAGTTCCTGTAAAAAAAATGACTGAGGTTAATTCACTTTACCACTGAGTTTATTCATCTTGAGTGAAATAAAGCATTTACAAAAGGCCTGTATGAGCAGGTAGTATATAAAGGACTGTACTAACAGCCCACTAAATAAATTTTATCCTGTTTTTAGCAGTGCTGAAGTAGGTTTGAGTAATTTACTAAAATAACAAAATAGCCTCGCTAGCACTATAATCCTTGCTTTAATTGAATATGAAAGCCTATAGTCTTTTCTCTACAAAAAATTGATGTTTCCCTTGAATCTTGCATTTTTTCCATTATATTAAGTCCATTAAGTATTCTAAGACTTTTTTTTGAGATTTCTCTTTTGTATTACTTTAAGCAGCCATTGGATGTCAGTGCTGTTTCAAATCTGGTCATAGCAAAGTTTGGAAAAATTCCCAATTACACCGTGCCAATTTTTGTAACTAAAAATGACATTAGTCTTACGAAAGTGCAAAACGCAGTAAAGAATATAAAATATTTGTCTAATCTGAAGTGGTAATTGCGTCAAAATACTGGAAAGAAAAATGTACTTCAGCACTTGTTCAGTTTCATGATTAATGTAAAATTCAAAATTGGTTCCCCAGATCTTAGTTCCATCTGTTTTCTTCTGGAGGCTTTAGCCCCAGACGGTTCAGCCTGTGGGTGTAGAGAACACTATTTTCACATCATCGCTTATTATGAGAAAGCTATGGGAGAGACCCAGACCACGGCCCGCCGGAACAAGACTAGCAGATGGAAACTGCCTTTGACACATCAGCTAGACAAGCTCAATGCACACGCTGGGGCTGAGGACAGAAAAGTGATCCTTAACAATACTGCCCCCCCCCCCTCGACCGCGCTTTCTGCGCTGCAGAAACCTGTAAACCTCAGAAGCTGACTGGGGCGGGGGCCAGGGAGCGGGCAACACTAGAGCGGTTTTCCGGCCTCCCGGGGGTGGTCACACAAGTCGCACTAACATCCTTCACCATGCTAGGGATCGGGGACCACAGCCAGGCCCCGGCTGCCCGGCATCCGGCGGCGGGAGGGTGAGGGGTCAGCTCGGCCCGAAGAACCACGGAACAGACTCAGGTCCCGGGCTCCCAGCTCCGGGGAGGGGGCCAGACACAGGGCGAAAAGTCGCAGAGAGGTGTCACCCCTCACTACCAAGGTCAATGAGGACTATGATGTAGCCACGCCGGGAAAGCACCCACGAAGCCAAGTAAAAACCAGAAAAAAAAAAAAATCTCAGAAACCTCTGCAGGCCACGCAAGCCCGCAATTGGCTCAACATTTGGGACCGACGTGCGCAGCGTAGCGGCCTAATACGGAAACACCGCCTCCCTGAAAAGCGTTTTCCACCCTCCCGACTGCAGGGAGGAACTACATTTCCCGTGAAGCAAGTGGCCCCAAATCCCCAGCGTCCTCTCTGCCTTTGCTTTTGGTCAATAAACAAGACTTCACATCCCAGGAAGCTCTAGGCTGGGCTGCCCGCGCGCATGCGCCAAAAGGCGGGCCCTAGCGGCCCCCACAACCCCGCCTCCGTCCCACCGCCGCCATTTTTTCAGAGACTTTCATCCGGCGGCCCACGGAGCTTTTTTTCTTAAAGGAGAAGCGACAGCTCAAAAATATTCCCCCCTTCTCCCCGCATGTCCTGGCGGCGCTGGGGACATAACGGCCAGAGACAGGGAAGTGGGGTCGGGTTGGAAGCGGAAGAACGCTCAGGCTACTTCTGCGGCCTAAAGAAGCGTAGAAAGAGCCCCTGTGGTAATAGCGGCTCTTTAGGGAGGCAGGTGCGCGCGCATCCGGCCCAGGGCGTGCACGAGGCGGGCAAAGAGGTGCGTTTCCTTCCCACCCCTTTCCCTCGCCAGTCCTGCCCCTCCCACTGCCCCTAGCGCGCGTTTAACTCCGGAGGAGGGGAAAAGGTCACTTTGGGATTGTCGCGAGACGCAGCCGTTTAACGGTGAGAACGGGTGCGCGGGGAAGGAAACCTCGCGCGCTCCCTAGGAGCCGTTTCCTGATTGGCCGAAGGAGGGTGGGGGAGGGACCTAGTACGTCGCTGCGTGTGAGCCCGTGAGGGGCGGGGCTAGGTGACCGTTCCTCTTTGCCCATTGGTCCGCCGAGCGTTTGCGGCGGGCGCGCGCGCGCTCGGCCGGCGGTCGCGGGCCTTGAGTGGCAGGGGGCGGGGGGGGCGCCCTCGGCGCGGGCGGAGGGGAGGGGGGAGAGGCGCTCGGGGTAAGAGAGCCGGACGCTCCGGGAAGCGAGGGGGGCGGGGGGTGCAGCGGCGCGGCGGCCTCCGCCTCCGCCGCCCGGGACGAGGGGGTGGGGGACGGACAAGCCCTGATGCCGGGGGAGACGGAAGAGCCGAGCCCCCCGGAGCAGCAGGACCAAGAAGGGGGAGAGGCGGCCGAGGCGCGTCCGGAGGAGCCCCAGCAACCGCCCTCAGAGGCGGCTTCCGCGGGGACCACGAGCAGCCGCGTGCTGAGGGGCGGCCGGGATCGGGGCCGGGCCGCCGCCGCCGCTGTGTCCCGCCGGAGGAAGGCCGAGTACCCGCGCCGGCGGAGGAGCAGCCCCAGCGCCAGGCCCGCCGACGGCCACGGGCAGCAGCCTGCGGCCACGAAGCCGCCGTCGCCAGCTCAGGGAAAGAGGAGTCCGCGACTCGTGTGAGTACCGCGCGTCCCCAGCCGCGCAGACCCCGCGCCCGCGCCCCTCTCGGCTCCCGTAGCGACCGCCCCACGTGACGCGCCGCGCTGCCTCTGCGTCTCAGCGCCGGGGTCGCCGCGCGGTGGTCCCGGAGCCGCGCGTCTGTCCGCGCCCTTTGCGGCGCCGGGCCCGACTTGGCCCTCGCGGCGCCCCGTAGCACGTCCCGGCCGCGCGCGCCCCTCCCGGCTGCTCCTGCCGGGTCAACGCTCGCCTTCTGCGGGAAGCGGGGAAGCGTGGAGGCGGGCGTCGGAACTGGGACCTCTCACACACCAGAGTCAGCTTTTTGCCCAGCAGCAGGTTTTCGGCGTCTTAAAGCGGGGACGTCCCTGTTAGAGGAGGCGAGGAAAAGAGCCGGGACTGGAGGCCGGGAGCGTGGTGGTTTCCGGGTGCTGGGTAACGTCTTGCTCTCAGGCTCCCGTGCGGATTGTGAAGCACGCAGGTCCGTAAGCTGTGGAGAGTAGTTTCACTTGCTCTTGAATTTATGACAGGAAACATCTTTTGTGATATTCGCCTTACAAGTGGGAAGAAATAACGAAAACAGAGTTACCCGAAAAGGGGAGGGTGTCAGTTTTATTCTTCAGTGGTTGTAGTGGCAAGGTCTGGCCCACACTATATCTGGTACTTAAGTTTGAAAGAGATCTGTTCCACAATTAAGACACAGCCTCAGAAGTCTCTCAGAGGAATAAAAAACAAAGCTGTCGCCCTGTGGTACTCCAGTTTACTGTATGATCTGTAGTTCTGTGGACAGTAAACTCGTAAACACATTTTTCAGCTGCAATTAGAATTCTAATTGCCATAGATGTATTTCATATTCCCAATTATCTTACTTATTTTTTGTACCAGGAGTTGAACTCAGGACCTCAAGCTTGCCAGGAAGGTGATGTGCCGCAGAGCTACATCCCCGGGCCCATATTCCCAGAATTTTAAGTTAATTTTTCACAAATTTGAAGAGATAGCATTTTATATAAGTTTCTTGTACAGATTCCTTAACACAACTGTGCCTGTTGTTTAAAGGCGCTTATACATTGGAGATAATACCAGTGACATGGGTGTGTGTGAATTAAATGTACATTTTGTGACCCACTTCACATACTATATGTTTGACTTGTTGTAGTAAACGCTGAGTGAAACTTGTCATTTTGTGTAATTTAGCATGGGGAGGTAGAAGTGTTTTGTAATCTTGTTTGTCACGTGGATTCTGCAAAATATGACTAATCATACATAATGATGCTAATATTTAAAAGTATTTTTTCTTCCATGGTTCTGGTAATTGAACCCAGGGTCTTTGCACTGAACTATAACCTCAGCCTTTTTGTTTATTTAGAGTCTCTTACAAAGTTGCTAAATTGTTGGAGCTGGGCTCCAATTTGAGATCGTCCTGCCTCAGCCTCCCAGACTGCTGGGATTTCAGCCTATGCCACCCTAGTGTTTGATCATTTGTCTTCTGTCTCTTTCTATTTCTCTGTACTGAGGTTTGAACTTAGGGCCTCCCACATGTCAAAGTTTTGAAATAGATGTTCTCATTATCACCTGTCAGTTGAGGGTTAACTACCTGTTTTTTCAGACAGTTATGCCTGAAGTAGTAGTTTTACCTCTTACCGAAATTTATTTTTTCCCTAACTTGACAAAAAGTATTTACAACTCTCTTTAGTATCACAATCTGTGTTAATACACTTGATGAAGGTTTCTTAAATTCCTTCAGTGTTTTCCTCCAGAGGAAAGAGTGAGTTATTGTCCCTCTGTCATCCACTGTTGTGAAAGATAACAGCAGTGATGGCTTCCTTTTACTTTATTTCACTATCATGTGTCTCTAGGTAGTGTATTTTAGATTATGTAATGGTAGTAAGACTGCTAGAGTAAATTTTTATCACAGTATTTCCCATTTTCATTGTAGCCAGGGCCAAGAAGCTCTGCCATCAAGAACCCTAGCAGGAAAATGAAAGCTAAGCGGGATAGTGAGGAGTTGTTACACAGGTGTGCATGGTTTATATCTAGACTTCAGGGACAGAACGGATTTTTAGACTGTTTAGTTTAGAAACAGGACATGTTGAGAAGTTTGGAGTAACAGCCTTACTGAACCCTGACCTTGGTTCGTCTGTCTTCCAAATACCATTGTGGCCAGTTTTACAAGGAGGTAAGAAATACCATCCTTGTATTTGTTCCATTGGGATCCTTTTTCTGTATCCCAGTCTTTTCCTTACAAAAGCCTAAGTATTGAGCTGTCAACCTATGTTTGTTTTTGTTGATTAAAGAGGCAGCAAAGTGCACACTTTTAATTTAAAAGGTCAATAAAAACATAGATTTCCTGTTTCCTGTTAGAAGCCAAATTATATAGTGAGGAAAACACTCCTTTAGAGTCAGTTTCAAACCCCAGCCTTGTTTCTGCTCACCAAGTGACCTTAGACAAGTCACTTAATCTCTCTAGATGGACTTCAGCTATAATTGATTTTTAATGAGCTTAGTAAACCTGGATATAATTAAGGTACTTCTTCATAAACTTAAGTTTATAGCAACTCTTTTAATTCACATTGAAATATTACAGGAATTAACCAAAGAGTAGGAAATACTTAGGAGGGGGATATAAAGTTTTTTAGTGAATTTTCCTAAATAGAAAATAGCAGGGAAAGATAAGCCAAATTTGACAGTTTATATGTTCTCACTTTTGAGAAAGTAGACTGACCCCTTGCTCTGCTGTAGCCAATAAATTACATAGTTAAGATTCTTGGGATAGTAGCTGTATAATTTAGAATAAAGTTGTAATGCTACAAAAAACGAAAATGATTCCTGTGCTTTCTAAAGAGAATAGATAATGTAATATGTTGTAACTTCAAGTATTTTAATAACACGAATGTTGAGATGTATGTTTTTCTTCTGAAATAAGAAAAATCTATACATACTATGCATACTGAGATACAGTATGGCATTTTTATGATAAAGATCTAATGCCTATTTACTCTTGAATTTGAGTAATGGTCTGGGTGATTTCATTACTCTGTTCCCAACTATAATGTGTGATAGAAATTCCCCAAGTTAAAAAGCGGGAATACTTTTTTTTACTAAGGTGGTAACATTTTAAGCATTTTACTGTTGCAATCTACCTGTAAAAAGTACATGTGTTAGTGAGGCATGTTCCCTTTTCAGATATTTTTGAGTTAAGCAAACATAATTATAGGGTTGGTTAAGGTTCTTTAAGTATTTATTAAGAAAATTTGTATTGAATATACCAAAATAAAGAAAACTTTGTAATGAACCCTCGCTTGTCACCTAGATCAGTAGCTACTGATACATCTGTGATGCAGCACCCAGCCTCCTGCCAGCCGTGGTTAGAGCATGCCTCAGATGCAATTTCATCCCAGTGATGGCATTCATTTCCTTACGTAGGCACTTCACAGAACAAAACTAACAGTATTTTCCTTGTATAATCTTTTTTATAATTCAGAAGTTGTTTTCTATAGTATTCTAGCCCTCTGCTGTAAGTTATGGCAGCCACACTTATATTTACACTAGGTAAAAGTCAGTTCCTCAGCTACAGGAGCAATTGCAGCTGTGACCCACTTAACTTACCAGACAGTGCAGACTCAGTGTGGCCTCAGTTCTGAGATTAGACTTCTCTGTGGACCGAGCTGCTGATATACTCTGCATTGCTCTGAAAGTGAACCTGGAAGAGATAGAAACTTGCATTTTAAGGAAATGTACAAGATTGCTCATTTAATGTTTGATTCTTCTGTTTTTCAGATGTGTAGAAAAAATAACAACTGATAAAGGTAAGCCTTGGTCATTCTTGGCTCTTTTGTGTATACATTCCACTGGTTATGTGGCAGTGTAATAGGACAGAATAAGCTTCAGCCCAGTCAGAATAGTTGCTGTTTAACTGGGACTTGCAGGGGTGGTGTGGCACACAGCAGACCCTGTCTCAAAACTGAATACTTGAGCAGGCCTGGTGGTGCACAGCCATAATGCCAGCTTCGGAGTAGCTGATGCAGAGGGGTCATAATAAATTTGAGTCTGGGCAATTTAACAACTTAGCTCCTGTCTCTGACTAAAAACTAAAAGATTGGGGGGCAGGGTTGTAGCTCAGTGTGAAGGTCCTGGGTTCAATTTCCAGGACCACAAAAATAGGTAATATAAAAGGGACTCATAAAACATTGCTGGAGTTGGTAAAACTATATGATGACAAGCATATTGGGACAGAAGGATGCTTTGACTTTATTTAAAAGACCAGTAATGGGGAAATTATAATTTGATGAAAATTTAACCTAATTTTTAAAGTGTTTGATATTTTTAAAAACAAATACTGAGAAGAATGATATGCAATATACAATGTAACATGTAGGCAAAATCTTGATACTGGTGGAGACTCAAATTATAATTACAGTTTGAAGAATGTAGGAAAGGTGCTAAGATTTGAAATGGTGAATAATTAAGTGGAGTTAAGTCATTTCCATTTAGAGTTCTAGTAGACAAAACTAGTGATTTTTTGCTTATCTGAATTATGAAGGGAAGCCAGTGTTTAGTTTTTTTAGTTTTACATTTACTAAGATTTCATTCAGGCATTACAGATTGAACTATTAAAAGTGCCTCTGTCTTGTTGAACCAGTTATTCATTACATTTTTCTTTTTGTAGTCCTTGGCAGTGTTTTTTGATGCTAAATTCAAAGACACATCTTCCTTAAAATGAGCAAATGTGCTATTGATCATACTTTATGTATTGTGTATGCTCTTAACCTGGCCTTAACATAGCCAGTTTCCAACTCCTGGAGTCCACTTAAAGGTCGAGAGTTGTTTTTTTGGTAGTTTTTGGCCGACAGTTTTTTTGGTAGCCTGCTACTCTTTTGTAAAATTGAGTGTGAGTGTGTATTTTTCTGTACGTACAGTTTCATAAGCAAGGGTTTTGTATTCTTTATAAAGAATGATTTGACACAATATGAGAAAAGATTAAAAGCCATTTAGAAGGGTGACAGCGTGATTAGGAGCCATTAAATTGTGTCAGTGTCTGTTTTGCGATTAACATAATACTCAGGTTCTTAGGTGAATGTTGGAATTGGAGGCTAATATCGCATTGTATACCAAGTAGAATTATTCTTCTAACAAGCATGTGTGTGTACGCATGCATCTGTATGGTTATTTTGTCTAGCAGAATATTTTTATTTTGACAGAACAGCAAATTTTTTGTTGCTGTTGCTACTTGGAATATAGTGTTATGTCTACTGAGGCTGGGAGGTTTATGTTTCTTACTCAGAGATTACTTTGTAGGTTTTTTGAGGTGAAGAAAATGTAAAAACCATTAACAAACAAGTTGCCAGACCAATTCTGATTAAGATAAAAAACAACTTGCCTTCCAGAGTCAAAATTATGTATCTAATGAGAATATGTATCTAATGAGAATAATGGGATTATGTCAAAATTTATGTATCTAATGAGTTGGCTCAAGGAAAACTTGGAACTTCAATTTTATATTTTTTGGTGTTTTTTAAAAAAATTATTTTTCTTTATTTTTTTCGAGACAATGTCTTAGTAGTATAGTTCAAGCTGGCCTAGAATTCACTGTGTAGCCCAGGGTGACCTCGAACTCGTGATCCTCTGCCTCAGCCTCCTGAGTGCTGGGATTCCAGGTGTGCACCACTGTGCTTGGCTTGGAACAGGAATTGGTAGAAATGTTGAGCCTCATTCTGAGATGTGTGTGGTGGTGCAGGCTTGCCATCCCAGCCTTCCTGGCAGCTAAGGCAGGAAAATGGGGAATTCAAGCCTAACCTGGACAACTTAGCAATTGAGGGATCCTTGTCTCAAAATGGGGGATGGGGAAAGAAAAAGTTTAAGCCCTTTTTGGAAATGAATAATTCTCGTGTAGGTAATCTTAAACCGGAATGTGCCATGCTGTGTAGTTGTACAGCTGTGGAAAGAGTAAAACTCATTCTGCGTAGTTCAGTCTGTATACCTGTCTCCCTTTAACTCACCCATTGGGTGTCCTTAAGTGACACAAAATAAAAAAACGGCTTTAGTTCTGGATGCTCAGTGCTCTCATCTCCTGACTTTAGGTGTTTTGAGCTGTTAGTTTCCTTGTGATAATAAGACGAGAGGATGGTTTGTATGTATAATTTATTAATATTCTTTGCCATACTTTTAATATCTTCTGTTTTCTAAATTCTAAATAGATATATCATAGAACTTGTCTTTTGTCTCTTGTTTGTTGGACCTTTAGTGAAGATTAATGCTCAAGACAGAGAAACATTTCTGCTGGGCTCTGGTGTGTACCTGCATGCAGCCCCAGGTACTCAGGAGGCTGAGCCTGGGGGACAGAAGTTCTGAGTCAGCCCTGGCTACTTAGCAAGAACCTGTCTTAAATAAGAGGTCTGGGGTTGTGGTTCAGTGTTTGAGCTCTGGCCTGGTATGCACAAGGAGGCCCTGGCTTTGATCCCCAGCACCATAGCAGCAGGGGAACTGAACTCCTGCCCAGCTTACTGGAGTGCTTGTCTGTTTTATGGAGTTACTCATTGCTAAATTCTAGAATCACAGATAAAGCTACTTAAGTTCTTTCAAAACATAAAACTTTTAAAAACTGCTTTTAATGCTTACTAGAGTACATTTCATTCATAGAGTCACATTTGGAGAGTGTTTGAGTCATAAGTGCTAGGATAGTTATCTCAGCACTTTCAGGGAACTTTGATTTTCAAAGCTGTGCAGTGTCAATACCAAAATATGCAGCAACTGACTTGCTTTACTAAAAAGATCCCCTTTTAAGTACATCTTATAAAGCTTCAATTTATGGAAAATATACTTTGGAATTCTTAATGCTTGGGAATTATATGGTGTTCAGCTTCTAGCGTGAGTGTTCTCAGCATGCTTTACTGTTGTATAGGCACTGTTGGCAAAGCTTATGTAGTCCTCAGATGAGGTCCTAACATCAGGGAGCTTGCTTAGATTGTTTGGAGCTTAACTATTAAATGTTGACCCTGTCTTGTTGAAATCACTGTAATGTCTGGAATTACTGCTGAACTATTAACTTGTCTTGATATTTTTTCTCTGCAGCGAAGCACATACTTGGTTTTTGTCTTCTGTTGATGTGGTGCTAATTTATTGATTATGCCTCTGCTCCAGAGTTCTAAAAAAACTAGGATTAGTTTATTTTTAAGTTTTTAAAATTGTAATTTTATTGTTACTTCACTGGAATACAGTTATTTCTTACCCTCTCAGGTCAATCTCTTATATCATATTCCAATATCCTTAATCCATATTTGTATTTTTCCTACATCTGTAGAGGAGGAATTCCAATTTAATTTCCATTTAATGTTAGCAGTTTTTACTGTTGAGTTTCTGTACAAGGACGTATGTGATATGGCAATATACACAGGATGCTGTCATTAGGGTTCTTTCTCTAAAGATTTTGAATCTTTTTGTAATGACTTGGATTTTAAAAAGTAAATCCTATATATTTTAAACATGAAACATCTGTGATGGTCAGGTGTGGTGGCAGCATACCTGTAACCCCAGAACTTGAAAGGCTAAGGAGACTGAGGCAGGAGGTCCTCAACTCTGAGCCAAGCCTAGACTACATTGCGAGCTCCTATCACAGAAAAACCAAGCAGGGTGGGGAAGCTATGTAAGGATCTCTCCGGGTGAGAAAGGCAGATGGAAATAATCCCAGCCCCAACCCTCACAGGTGCTTTTAGTTTAGTTGAAATACTCTTTGCAAATCAAGTGATGCTTTTTCTTCTAAAGTCAGATTAAACATTTTTTGAAGAGCTTTTGGTTTCTCTTAATATAAAAGTACTAATATTTCAAAGTAGATTTTGCTAATTGGTGAAAAACAGTGGAGCGAATGAGTAGTCTGGGTTTCAGAAACTCAAGTTTTGATTCTTAGAGTAAAGCTGAAGCCTTAGAATTCCTGTAGAAATTTCATTTCGGGTGTATGCATGGCGAGGTTTGAATTACTGGGAAGGGAACCAGATCTTTAACACTGAGTCATATATTGCCCCCAGTTTTTGAGATAGGGTCTCTGCCTTGCTAACTAGGTAAGATTTGAATTCACAGACCTTCTTGCTTTAGCCTCCTGTTAGAGCGTGGCCCCATCCCTTTATTTTAAAGTAACAGGGAATGGATTTCTCTCTCAATATCTAAGAACATTCTTAGATATCATATTACTCTTTTGGGAATTGCTCAGGTCCTTTAATCTTTTCTAGTTCAAACTTACAGATCTCCTGCAACTCTTCCTGTTTTAATTTCCTACAAGAACTGGTACACTCATGATATGTAGAATTATAATACAGGCTTAGAAATAAGCGTTGTCAAATATTTCAGTTATGGGATGTTTTATCAGTCGGGTAAATGAATCTTCCATCCCCTATATACAAAGAAATTTGTACAACAGCTTTCCTAGTATAGTTCAACTGCTATAGGAGCTGTCTCTGACACAGTATCATTATTCTGTTATGCATAGTTATTTTATGTTGAGATCTTTTTTGACCAAATACCACTTGAGAGTTACAGCAGAATGCCTGGATAGAAGACAACTAAAGCAAGGGAAACGTAACATCCTTGTGGGAAAACTCATCCAAACAGTGAGAAACTGCAGCCCCTTTGAGACCCACCTATGGGTGAGGGCATAGCAGTGTCTCACACTGAAATAATCCTGAGTGGACAGGGAACTCTCACTTAGTGCTACTTGTCTTTTACTCTTGTGAATTAAAACTCGCCATGAGTCAATACCCAGGCAGAGGCCGCTTTAGTGTCAGGGCCATTGATTTTCTCAGGGGAACCGTGCCTGTCT